GTATCGTTGGACTGAAATTAACAAAATAAATCATACGTGGTATATAACATATACCATTTGTTCCCCATCCCCATACAAATAATAATATTAAAGATATTCACATCAGGGGTACGGCATATTTAAACTTGATATTTTTAATACTTTACGATATTATAATACAACGATGGGACCGTAGTGGTAACTGATGTAATACATGAATAAACAAGAAAACCTGAAAAAAGGTTCATTGGAAGATATATAATTTAATATCCAAAAAGTAACCCTAAACTATAACATATATAGAGTAGGTAAAATGTATCACAAAATATACGTTATTGAATCTTGTAGCTCTCTAAAAACGTATGAATTGATGCCATGCAATGCGTACTTCGTGATATAATTTTCTAAACGAATTGCATGTTTGTCGATGTATGACTGTACAATAGGCAACATCCTGAAGCATTGGTCCCAGTATTAACATTAAAAAAAATGTCTTTAGTCAAAGCATCGTAGAATCCTAAAATACATGTGGTTTCACTGATCGCATTCACTGTTTATGTTTTCAAAGCTAGATTAAATAATTCTGGTGAGGTCATCAGTCCCAATTTAACACTGTCTGTTATCAGTAGGCAATTGGAAAGAAGAAATTGTCTGGAGCCGTACGAGTTAATCATTATCCAGAAAGGATCAACAGAAACTGTATCTTTCTGAAGATTGTAAATATATGAGACTAGATATAATCTTTTTTTAAATTAATAAAGTACTCTTATACCGAGGTAGAATTATGAACTCACCGCTATAAGTGTTTCTGAGGAGAATGAGGCTCTTCATTCTGAGGGTCTTTATTCTGAGGCTCTTCATTTGGTCTCATTCTCGCATAACCAGCATTTTAACCCTCATTACCCAGTGATAGCTGAATCAAAGCATGGCATCACGTACGTGTTGCTGGATCAACAAGAGTGAAAAAATGACCAGTGTCAGTAATAGATATATTTTAACATTTATTAGCCCTCTGAACTGGACTGGAGAGAGAGAGAGAGAGAGAGAGAGAGAGAGAGAGAGAGAGAGAGAGAGAGAGAGAGAGAGAGAGAGAGAGAGAGAGAGAGAGAGAGAGAGAGAGAGAGAGAGAGAGAGAGAGAATAAATATTTCTTGGAGCTGTAAACAATGATCGTAACAATTTAACACATTGATTCAGTTGACATCGTAAGTCGAGTTTTGCAATATCTTATCTCGAAAGCCAAAATCCCTCAAACAAAATGTATATTTGACGTTTTGAACTGTATTTTCATAAAGTGTTAAAATATGAATTTTGCAATAGAATTTTAAGTATGAATAGTCAAGCAACAAGTGGTGTAGATAATAATAATATATACTGAATAGTGCCGCGAAGTATGGAAGTGCTTTAAGATAACGTATTATTATTGAATGATAACAATTTACATATAATACATTTGACACCTATACAAAATGGAAGCGGACCGTACACATGCAATGGCAGACGACTCGAGTTAGGTAAAATCATTGTGTAATGTTAAAAAAAAACAATCGAGGCACTTCGGATTTATAGCTTTGTGTGTGTGTAGGAGACCAACAAAACGACTGAGTCTACATAACGCTCATGAAACTTAGCATGCGTCGTTAGCAAAGTCAATGATGTACATAGACAATATGTACATTTCAAAAGATGGTACGGGGACATAATTTTCCGGTATCATATCCACCCTGGTAGACCACCCCGGTATGTTTGTAACAGCTGATCTGACAGCCACGCGGTGCTGTTTTAAAGATATGACCGGAATATATCACCATATTACGAACCATTGTCAGGTTGCATCAGATAACGTTACAGTTTTGACGTTTTTACAAGTGACGGTTTGGTTTGTTTGAAAAAAATTCCAAGCATGAGTTTATAGTACAATAGGTTCACCAAGTTCGTTGTAGATCATCAATCTGTCATACTGCAAAATATGAATATCGTGTGTTTTATCTTCTTCACAAAATGTCATAATCACAGATGAATGGCCAAAGAATGTAAATTGGGTTGTGAAGGACAATGGCTGGGGTATATCATGAAAATGTGCACATGTTTTCATCAGAGCTAGTGCTCGTATAATCTAATTGTAGTCACGGAGAGGAAACTGCAGATATTTTACAAGACTTATAATGTCATGAGAACTGTAATCAAAAGTAGGAGTCAAACTGTTCTTTGTTATTTATAATCATGGGCGCCTCCACATAAGGCCTACATCCATAAAATTCAATGACTGACCACTACATGTTCCCCAACCCACTGAAAATAATTCTGATTTCGCCCCTGTTTATAGTAATAGCTCAACTGTTTGACCATTCGTTACAATGGATTGTAGGACGTTGCGGTTGTTGCTGATGCTTCTGAAGTAAGTGACTGAAGTCGTTTTTTCGCAGTAATAGTAGTTCAATAGGTGATGGCGATAACAAACAAGTTTGATAGAATCTATTTGATATATTTGAGCAGAAAATAAAAATAAAATTGCTTGTATGCCTTCCGATCTACATATACAATTTTAATGTTTTTGAAATTGATGTACATGGGGAAAAGTGGGGTTATGATGCTGTTTGTACACCTTACCTACAGTGTTCACGGTTTTGTAATTTTTTATTTATTAGCACGTTAACATATCATTTTCGGTCAATCTACGTCTATGCAGAGAAACGCCCGTCAACCTTCTGAAATACAGACTATTCCCTTTACATTGTTATTACTACATGATACAAAACTTGCACCCCATTCCCTGTACAAGTCATGATAAAAATGCCAGATTACAAGGGTAAATAAATTCGCTTCTCTTACGAAGAGATTGTGGATAAATATGGGCTCTCCATTGACAAATAACTATCCAACCACATTGTTCCAAATCATATAACATACAGATCCAGTCATAAAACATTAAATATAGGATCACTATACAACTATATAAATGTAAATCTTCAGCATCATAACACATTTTGATTTTTAACACTGTTACTATAAATCACCGCTTCCGACAAACAGGGAAGACGGGGAGGAGTGTCATCGGGCGATATACCCCCGGAGCCTTGGCCAGTAATGGGACCCATGCCAAACAACACTTTTTAATTTTATAAAAGAAAGATTCTGTGTAAACAAAAACTAAGAGAGGCCCGGATGTTTCTTACCGGAGGGCACGTCATCGCCTTGCCGACCCATCAACTTGAACAATATTTCTTTAACCAAAAACTTGCTTCTGTGGTGAGTAGACATCGTGGAATCAAAACTCTCTTCGGTGGAAATACGGTTTACAGTTGAATCAAAATCCGTGTATCGCGCTTCAAAGTCTACAGCTGACCTGACTAAATGAACTGTTTGATATACGCAGGAATTTCCATCGAAGACCCAGGTTTGAAAAAAACTCTGGTTGTACTTATCAACTGTTATTTTGATTGGATAGACAACTGCTCTTCGGAATGTTTCAGTTGATCGAATTGTGCAATACTGATTGAGTTCACTTATGGTTCCTTTCTTAAGCGCAAGAAGTGAATCAAAGGTAGATTTAAACGAAATATTGCTAATCATTTATTCTTCTTTCCAGCTAGACTATTTGTATGTTGATATTGGCTAAATACATGGACTATCACATATAATACCTTTAGATTTAGTAATATGTGTCATTGCGATTATCCGTTCAGAAAGATATTCAGCTCCTTCTGCCATCCAATACTGCATCTGTGCTGCATATCCATGGTAGAATCGACACGCTTTCAGGTGGAAATGTTGCAAACAGTCTAAATAAAGTCCATGTATATGGGGTCCCTGCTACTCCAGATGACTTTACTGAGTGAGCTATCTGACATACACAGGATATCCAGTGTTAATAAATGATGTTTTCTTGATTGGAAGGGCATTTCTGCTCTGAAATGTAATTGGTAAACAAATAGCTAATATTCAATGATTAGCTATTGAATTGTCCACTATTTTTTCAGCTCACATCTCGGACTATTTTTTAGACTAATACAGTATAGACGAAACGAAAAATAAATGATTTTGCTTCAACTCGCGTCTGGGCATATTTTTCGAGCGCGGGAATTGAACCAGAATTAACTGAAATGTCGAAAAAATATTGTTCTTTATTCTATCTATAATATTTCCAGTCTAAATAAAAAACGGAACAAAATCTTATGACATATTTTCAGCTTCATTTACATGATTAAACTTGTCAACTATATATATATATATATATATATATATATATATATATATATATATATATATATATATATATATATATATATATATATATATATATATATATATATATATATATATATATATATATATATATAAAATTATGATTTCCAGGTGGTCACGTGACTCCCCTTGACCCATGCTGCGGGCGACCATACCCCTGCCACCATTTTGTAAATTCGCCGTAATATCATATACAGACACGTAGTCTAATCAATAAGATTTGATTGACCTAATATTTCAAAATGTTGTCATATTGTAAACTCTTCGACTTTGAAACACTGCTAGTCTGATTGGGCAATGCAGCCAGACGAGTTGATCCTTGTTTTCAAGGAAGTCATAGGAAATCCTTTTAGCAACGCAAACTGTGTCTGGTAAAATTTCGTTAACAAAGATTACTTTACATTTTTTATAATGTAAGGCAGTTTCTGTATTTGTTCTAGCTCAGTGTACTCGATTTTTTGTTTATTTTGTGGGTACACATAAAAGGTGTCCCATTTCATGTGAAAATATTAAGAATATGTTTTTCACATCTGAAAATATAAGTGTATGATTTCAAACTTGTGTGCTTTGCATTTTTAACGTAGCTTTAACAATATTTCAGTCATATCGCTACGATGTCTGCAATGTGGCAGTTTATAGTGATGTCGCAGCCATGTAACATAATGTCCCACCCAGTCACACTATCCTGACACCAGGCCGAACGGTCCTAACACTAACCGATTAATGCTGAGCGCCAAGCGAGGCAGCTGTTAGTGCCATTTTTGTAAGTCTTTGGTATGACTCGGCCATGGTTTTGAACCAACGACCTCCGCATCCGAGGCGGACGCCCTAACAACTAGGCCACCGGAGCAGTCAAATAATTTTCGCATGTAAAAATAAATAAAGCACAAATATGAACACTGTTTTGCCAATAATCCTCTGTATTTCATACATACGTACATAATAAATTGACGTTATTCTCTTGTCTTTATTTCCAGATATATAACACTTGTAATAATAACTCACAACTTCACAATGACGTCATAATGTTACCGAAAGGAAAGGTGTTGATTCATCGGAAAGTCAAAGTCCTTTCACTCCGCTAAAATAATTGGTTAAATAAAGTCGTGCTAATTTCAATTGACATTTTTTAAACTGGTCGAATAATTTCTATTTTTTTTGGCGAGAATTTCATTCAAAATGAGTGATAATGTAAAATTATCTTTGTATTGATCAGATAATAAAATGTTTAATAAAACGGCAGATCTGTTCTGAATCAGGTGCGTCTATTGATGTAGCTATATGATATTTTTACGATTGTGGATGCTCTTAAGATATTCACCGTAAGTACTTGCTTATATGTCAAGTCAACTGCAAAATGAATTGACCCATAACTTCTGTCGCATAATGCGCCAGCAGAACTGGATCGGTGCAGTTTGATGGTGGTGATAAAAAGAACAAACAACATATAGAACCTGATCTACAGACGAGTTGTGCTATGGCAAATCAGTACTTTTACTGCTTGCAATTTGGTTCGACTTATCAGTGAGTACAGCGTACATGAGTTCATTGGCGTTAATTCACAGTAAATGTTATTTTTTTAAAAAAAACTATACTCTTTTTACGATAAATTCAAGAGAAATTACCGTGGCAAAAGGAAAATAAATCGCCATCAACCTTCTGAATAACAAATTATTTATATTAAAATGTCGACGCATTATGGTTATTTCATTATAGTAGCGATTCACTTTGTGACGACGATGCTCATCTTATAATATTAGCACGGAGACAGCTAGATTGGAAAAAATTAAAGAAAAATTAAATATGATATTCTAAATGTTTGCATTTGTTTCAGGAATTTTCCATTAACTCTTGTGAGTAGATGAAAGAGAAGGTGTGTGAATGATAATTCAAGACTTCTTTTTTGGAGATTTGGTATCTGTGGTCTAACGAATAAAGCACGCCCAGTCTAGAATGTCGTCTGCTCAGTTGTTGAGTCAGAGAATTATTTTCGTGCTCATAGTTTGCAAACGAGTGTCTTCAGTAAATCACTCTTTTGGGTAGCAAGCACAAAACATGTCGACAAAGTGATTAACGTTGGACTGCGAGGGAACTAACTACTTACTACACAGGGGGTAATGAGCAAGGTTGATCTTATCTAAATGCATTGATCGGACATCTGACGACTTTTGATCACTCTTTGTTCTCTTTGAAGTAACTCAGTTTTGTTTCAACATATACCATACGATGCGATCACACATGTGCAAAATTAACATGATGTTAAAAAGATTATTATTATTATTATTATTATTATTATTATTATTATTATTATTATTATTATTATTATTATTATTATTATTATTATTATTATTATTATTATTATTATTATTATTATTACCAGCGTCGTCGCCGTGGCCTTTATAATCTCCGCCACTATAATCCTTTTTGTGCAAAATATTTTTAATGTAAATTGTCGCTATTTCTTATTTATGAAATTACAAGCATATAGTCTAATGTAACCAGTGCTGGATTTAGGACAAATGGGACAGAGTGATAGTTATGAGGCCCTTTACAATGAAAATTTAGTTCATCGTAATTTTTATTTTTGGCTAAGAAGACACACTCAAGCTCAATGGTAAATCCTGTACTGAATGTAACTTACAGATTTTTAAGGAATTTAATTAGGGTATTTGTATATCCGAAGTCAATTGCATTGTCTAAACGCGGAAAAGTCTAGATATTGAACTAAAGTAGATATCAATTTCCTCCATGTAAATATGAAGCAGGAAGAACTCTCTCTCTCTCTCTCTCTCTCTCTCTCTCTCTCTCTCTCTCTCTCTCTCTCTCTCTCTCTCTCTCTCTCTCTCTCTCTCTCTCTCTCTCTCGTTCTAATAATGCCATATATAAGGAGAAAGAAGAACATGGAGATAGAAAAAGTTTACTTTATTGATTATAATTGTGATTTCTGTCAAATATTTGTTGATCGTTTGCCTGTGCATAACGTGTGTATGTGTGCGCATTCTTGTGCGCTGAAAGAGTCGGGTAGATTATTACATGAAGTAAAATACCGGTCTATTTCATGCAGTCTAAAAGTACTCGTTGAAACTGTTGTTGCCTATATTAGTGTACTCTTCTCTAGGTCAACTCTACTATTACAAAATCATTACTCACTGTGTACTTTAAAGTTGAGAAATTATTATTCAAAACAAATCAAGAAGATATCAGTCAATTACATTCAATGATAGTAAAATTTTCCCTCTGCCATTTAAATTTTACGTACAAAGATTTATTTTGGAAGGTATTCTTTAAAACTCTAATGGACCAAAAGAATCTCTTGTGCCACATTAACTGTGTTCCTGAAGACATTTCAATTGACTATGATAGTGAGAATAATATCGATCTATAAAATAAAAATTGAACTGTTTTATCGGTACAAATGTATGCAGAACCAAGTTTCTTAAAATGTATTCAAAGACATACGGAAGAAAAACGGCCAGGGAAGTATTGAATAGTAATTTATGAAAGAAATATGAGTTATGCACTACTATGGTTTTAATTGTGTCGATCCTTTGTTATAAATTCATGAGAAGTGTCTGTCAAAATTACACAAAACCTTTCACGTACTTTAACACCAAGGCAGAAAATTACTCATTTTTTTTTACAAAGTTTAAATTATTCATTTAAGCATGTAAATACCTTGCCGAACTAAAACTTTTCTAAGCCTGATCCTGTTGTGGGAATATCGAACATCATCGCAAATACCAGATCAGAACATAAAATGAAGATTCTATTCCATGACATTAAATGAAAGGGACATCCCATTGAACAAACAAAGAATTAAAAGACCAACGGGCGCCTACGACAAATTGCCTTTTGTCACTTTATTTCTCTGAGCGTTCGCTACTTAAGGCCATCTTTAAAACCTTATCAAGATAATCTGTGAATTTTAAATGAAGTTTCAAAAGTAAGGTACGAGATTGTTGTGATATATTTTCAGCCTGATTAACCACATAATAAATTCAAACATATTTGTATTTCTCTTCGTAGTATGACGTACTACTTGCAACTGTATCTCATACTTTCACAAATTAGCGAGTTGCAGGGTTAACCCTAAGCCATGAAGATTACTTATATTAATGATCATAACTTCGTTTTATTTGTTGTGAGTGTGTATATATCTTTTCATATGTGCATGGCCAATATTTTAAGGCCATATTGAACTGAAAACTAGCAACATTTACAACCTTAAGAGACGTGCATATTACACAGCTCTCCAGCAACATAACTTAAAAAAGACGAAAAAAGCGCCAACATTTTTAGAGGCTATTCTTTCTTTACTTTTTCGAGTTGATTTTACACCAGGAAACAAAGCTAATATGTCCCTTTAGAACGACTTTTAAATGCAAATCCTGTGTGTGTCTTTTGAGTGTATTTATATGGATAGAAAGAATAGTTGTTGTAAAACATAAAAACTTAAATTGTGGTAGTTACGATAAATTCCAAACAATGTTAACAAAATATGTTGGTTTATACCTGTTGTATTCTACGTTCATTAACAATATCAAGAATACGGACACACACGGTGTTTTACTGATTTTGTCATTGACTAAAACAAAGGAAGTAATGCTAGAAATGGAACGAAATGTTTAATGAAGGAAAGACATCAAAGTAATAATGAAGTTTGCGGAAGTGTTTATCTCTATTCTTGTTTACAAACGGTAATCGAACGAATTGTCGAAAAAGAAATTATGGGAATAATCTGAATTGACAAATCAAGTTTTATGTACACGGTTTTTTATAAAGAGATATTCGGTTTCACTAGATTCGACAAAAACTACAAATATACCGTATATACTCGCTTAAAAGCTGAGTCAAACTGAAAAATCCCCAAAGATCCTGATATATGTTGCTTGATTATTCATAAAAAAACTGCACATAACTAGATGTGTCGGTGCATAATGCGCCTCCAGATCTCGGTATTTATGGTTTGCAGTTAACTTCTATTATAAGTGAATGAAGACGGTGGTAAGCTTGGGTCTACTTGAGAAATATCCCTTCTATTCAGATATTGATAGTGGATGTAATAATTGCGATATGTAGCAATTCAGAATTTGAAACTTAACATAAATCTAAAGTACGTGTAAACACATGTAATTCAAAACTGGACACAAAATACTATTAAGCAAAGATATAGGTTCTACAACTGACATGTAAAGCATCCTCCATAGCGATTTTTACATGTGCTTGAGCTGTACCATGTAAATATAACCTTTGTTTCGTAACCTGGTTCTATCCTCTGACGAATAACCAAGGAGTGGAAAAAATCACTTCTGCTTTTCATGAAAAGCATGCTGTATTTAATATATATTGTGCCCTTAATGCTGCCTCAGCTACCGTTGGTTACAAATTTCGGATTCTATTCGTTTCTTCAAAATTCACGATAAAGGTGAAACATAATTCAATGAGGTTGATCTGTAACGACTGGTCTCTTCAGTTCAGTATGTGTAAACAATTTCTTGTTTTCAATTTATTTTTGGAAACACTGTTTTATGCTTTCCTTTTTTGCTAAATTAAGTGAAGATGCTTTCAGTATAGCATGGTATCATTAAAGTCATTTTGTAGCTTTAAATAGGTTGCAATTTATATTTAAGGAACTTGAAGTGCCCATAACATGGCATGCCTATAGATCCAAACTATTTGTGGACATATCCAAGAACCTTAGCTATTACTAATTGATAATACCTTTTGGATGATCCACTATTAGCTCAAACTTATCAAGAGATTTTTTTATCTCCCTCCCCCATCTCAACCACTGTTGGTGTAAAAAGAATCAATGAGAATTTTGAAAGTGTAATGTGTCGAATTTTGAAAACTA